CAGGACCTGGAAAGTTCTATGATTAGGCTCATAGATCCCAGAAAGCCAGTCCTGCCTTCTTTTGTTGACTAATAGAGATCAGCCCAGATTCAAGGGGAAGGCAGTTACACTTCGCTCATAAATTGGACAAGGAGACATGCAGTAGGGCTGCTCTAAGTCAAGAAGGAACTGTCTTTTACCATAGTGATCATTTCAAAAGAAAACCACCCGGAGAGAAGACTCTGGCGCTTGTGTGCAGAAGGAATCACAGGGTTGGAGGACTCCAATGTGAAGGTCTAGGTCTGGGCAAGTGAGCTTGTGGAAGAGTGAGAATATGTAGGAGCCAGTCACAGAAACATGCAGGGCAGCCACGATGGTGGAACCGCCTAGAACCACAAGGGTAGGAGTACTAAATTAGAAATGAATTCACAGAGGTGCATACTTTGTCACACGTCTGCCACATGGCTGAGCACAGAAGTTTCATGTGGCTCATCCTGAATGGCAAGGGAATGTTGGGAAGGGCTGCCTGTTCTATTATGGGTGCTTTTAGTTTTTTTATGTCAAAGCCGTCATACAACAGAAGACAGACTGTGCATGCATGCGTGCATGTGTGTGTGCGCATGTGTGTGTGTGTGTGTGTGTGTCGCCCTGTCATTGTGGCAGGGCCGGGAAGTCACAAGGTCTATCTGCTTCTTGCTGTGCTGTTTCTGTACTAACTTGTGACACAAAGAGGGCACAAGAGGCTTGTTTTGTGCAGTCATAGAACAACAGTAACAGAACAACAACAACCCTGGCCTGTCTACTTTTCTTGCCTCTCATCAAGGAGTTTAAGAAGTGGTTTGTTGCCTTGACAGTCTTGTGATGTGCGCTGCATTCTCACTGGCGCTACTCTCAGTTCGCTGTGGCTTTGGGCTTGGTAAAGGGCTTACAAAACCAGAGAAATGTGAACAGAGGGCTGATCACAGGAACCCACGACCACTGCTCAGGGTCACGGACACGCTGAGCTGATCAAAGCTGAGCGGTTGCAGTGGGAGGGTATGAGAAACACAGGTAGGAGAGTGGCTGTTGGAGGTCAGTGGATGGCAGATGTGCAAGGGGAGCGGAAGAGCGGGGCCGTCAAGGAAGCCCATCTGGGACAGCGGTTTCGGTCTGTGCTGTGGTTCCGTGAGAGATTGCAGGCAGCTCCCTAAATAGCATCAATAGGTGCAGCAAGTTCACAACCGCAAGGCCCCACGTGCAAACAAGTAATACTCTTTATTTCTCTACGATTGAATTCACCTCTGCTTGTGAATATGAAAAATGTATCCTGGGTCCAGAGTTGTTTTGTTGTCACTGGCTCAAGATCCAGTTTTGTTCAGAATTTCTTCCCTCTTTTTGCTCTGGGTAGAAGCCTTTGGGGGTGCTGGGGTGAAGGAGACAGGTGACCAAGGGCTGCCAGGCCTCTGGAGGCCCGTGGGTCTATGCTGGGCTGCAGTCACCCTGGGCCTTCCAAGTTCTCTACTTGAAGGGCTCTGTAGGGTCCTGGCTGCTTTGCTGCACCCTCGGAGAGGCGCTAGTCGTGTGAGGCCCAGGCAGGAGCACTGCACGGCTGATGCTGGACACCCAGGGCTCCCTCCAGAGACGCTGTGTGGGTTCTCTCCCTCGGAATTCCTTACTGATCTCTTCCCTTGGAGGAGGCCAGGGTTTGTCTTGTTTGGTGGTGGAGGGTAAGGGATGTGGGCCACCTCTCAGGGACTTTCCAGAGTCTGAGGAACACTAGCCACGTCCCTCTGTTCCTGTTCTTCACATCCTCTGGTTGACTCTGCCTCTCTGAGTCTGAGTACAAAACCAGGTTGACACTTTCACATGTTCTTCCCTACTCCATGGGTTACGATTCCAGCCCTGGCCTCGGGGTTGCTGGGAGCCAAGCACAGAAGTGCTTTTCCCTTCTAGCCCTTGAGCCTAGTGATGGTGGATATAATAAACAATCCTTCCAATTCTTCTGCTCATGGGAAATGCTTCACACATGGATCATGTTGCATGGTGGGGGTGACTTTGTGTCCTGTGCATGGTTAGAGCGCCCGCCCCCAACACAGGGTCTGCGGAGCTGAAAAGCTTCACAGGTAGGGGTAGGACAATGGCGCTGGGGGCAGATGGAGACGGATGAGTCTCCTGAATGCTAAGTTTGCAAAGGCGGCGTGGTGGTTCAGGGGGTTCTCTAGAAGGTGTCTGGTGTCTGAAGGGGCTCCTGCTGTTTATAGAAAGGTTTTGTCTGAGACAGTGAGGTCACATCTTCAGCAGATAATGATTTTAGTTGTGCCTTTTGCTGAAACACAAGAATATGTCCTGTGTGTCTGTGTACTGCAGCAGCTGAGCAGAGGCCAGGGGTGACAGTCTCCAGCCCAGAGGTCAGTGAGGGGAATGCCCCATAAGTCATCGGAGCAAAGGAGACAGCACGGGACAGAGTTAGGGCAAGCGCCCAGAACGGTGGGAGGAAGGAGGAGGTGACTTCAAGGTGCCAAGTGAGATGTTCAAGGCTATATGATTAGTAGGGGGGAGGAGGGGTGTCAGCCTATTGCTGGGACAGGATACTGCCGCCCACACCTTTAAGAGGAAAGGTTTAATTTTGCTCTCGGTTTCCATGGGCTCAGGCCATGGCAGAAGCATCGCGGCTGGAAGGCGTGGGGGAGGAAAGCTGCTCAGTCTGTGGAGGTCAGGAAGCAGAGCAGGGGAGCAGTGTCAGAGGGGGAGGGGCCGAGGGTTGGAGACAGGCCTCCAGGGCTGCCTCAGCATGCCACCCGGCCAGCTAGGTATGTGCTTTAATCTCCCAGGTGGCTCCCAAGCCGGTTAAGTGGACACAATCAAGATGCACTGTCATAGTAGGGGAGATCTTCAACTCTTATGACTGTGGGGGGACGGAGGTATTTGAAAGTCCCATCTGACTGCAGAGAACTATGCCCAGCAGGACACTTGGGGCAGGATTGGGGGAGAAAGGGCCGGCCAAATAGCTCGGCAGATTAATTCACCTGCTTAGGCAGATGCAGAAGCCAGGAGTTTGATCCCCAGGCCTGCCATGCCAGCCCTGCCTCTGGGGTGTGCTGAGATGGCAACTGAGACTAGGCGTGGTGGCATGCACCTGTAATCCCAGCTCTCAGGAGGCTGTAAATAGAAGGATCACTACAAGCGCTATCTATGCAGTGAGACCCTGTAGACCCTGTCCTAAATATGAAAAAAAAAAAAAAAAAAAAAAGGATTGGGGGAGGGGGTCACTGCTTTAGAGAAAAGAAAGACGAGTTATGACATCTGTCTGGGGTCCTACTGGAACCCTGGATTTTGAGGCCTACTTTGATGACAGAAGACCCTAATTCAAAAAAAAAAAAAAAAAAAAAA